TTAAGATAGATAGATAGATAGACAGATAGATGTGAAAATATTAGACAAATTAGTAGATAGATAGATAGATAGATAGATAGATAGATAGATAGATAGATGTGAACATATTAAGATAGATAGATAGATAGATAGATAGATAGACGACAACTTAGAAGAAATAAATAAAGAAGGAATCATAGATAGATAGATAGATAGATGTGAACATATTAAGATAGATAGATAGACACCAACTTAGAAGAAATAAATAAAGAATGAATCATATATAGATAGATAGATTGAAAATGAAGAGAATTAGATAGATAGATAGATAGATAGATAGATAGATAGATAGCTACCAACTTAGAAGAAAGAAATAAAGACCGAATCAATCAATAAAAGTACAAGACAGTGATTGATGCATATAGATAGATAGATAGATTGAAAATGAAGATAGATAGATAGATAGATAGATAACAACTTAGAAGAAAGAAATAAAGAAGGAATCAATCAATAAAAGTACAAGACACTGAATTATATATATATATATATATATATATATATATATATATATATATATATGGACAGAAGGAGAGAGAATGTATAAAGTGGTTCAAATAGATAGTTATGAAGAAAAGAAGAGAAGAAATAAAGGAAAAAAGAAACTCTGATAAATCCATAAATATAAGGATATGAACGGGACAATAGATAATTTCATTGACCCTAATATTAGATACAATCTATTAACTTTCTCTGAAATTTGATGACCAGATTCAAATGTAAATCGGCGTGACACTTATGATTATTTCTGCTGTTTACAACTTATAATCAGATGTTATTTTTTGACACAGGCGTATTCAGTTCTGTCCTTTCTAAACCGACCTCAAATATTTCGGCTATGCCATGTTTTCCAAGAATGAAAATATATGTTTCTCTCCCTATCGCCCATCAGTGAATGCTTGCATTGACTCGCCAGTCCATTTACAAGTTCCTTCTATTCAAAGTATACAAGAGAGGAACGCAAAGATTTTACACGCATACAAGTCTTAAAATTCAATCCGTCTTAAAACGCTGACGATAATGGCGCCTCGTAAAGAAGCAGGCGAACGTAAACAAGATACAAGCTGAAGCTTCTGATCGGTTTGTAAAGTCTGCAGAGGATAAGAGTTACGTCACTTTGTTGTAATTTGGGCAATAATAACACTATTACATAACTGCAAAACTTCGTGCCCGATTAGAAAATTAAAAAAATTAGATTTAAAATCATTATTTATTAATCAAGTATTTAGTGTCCATTGTTTAATTTTCTCATGACTGCCTCTACTCGGAAAAATTCGAACTCGCCTCTCCGATTCCTCAACTTGAGCCGTGTTTGAATTCCAGTCAGATCCATTAAATTCACTTACGTACAAATATCCTTGGTAAAAGTACGAACACTCTTCAACCTTCTTTTCCAGTTATGGGTAAATAGCAGGACAGACTGGATTCTATAGCTTTGGGTGGCAACCGGTCTAGACGAATGTAACTCTGTATTCACAAACCGGCCAGGGGTTCCGTCAGGCTATCTAGCCCAAGAAACATCATTTCTACTGCGGATGCAGTAAACATGGTACCCCTACGACCCTGACAGGTCATGGGATTCACAATCGTGCGCTTCTATCGTTCTACAAGTTTTGTGATGGTATTTTATTAAAGAATTCGTGTTTTTTGTTGGAAAAATGTTTTAAAGAATTTTTCGATTGACTGTATAGAATTAAAATTTTTGTCATTTAGATTGTTCTATAGAAACTGGAACAAATGAAAATCCGAAGGAGCTGGGCCTGGTTAATACGGTGGATGCTGGACGGTTACTCATTTCAATTCTTAAACCTTCTATCAGGTCAGCTTTGCAACATGCGGTCATGCGTTGTCTTGGTGAAAAATGACGCCAAATCGAATTGCCAAATTGGCTGTTTTTCTTTAAACCCAAGTCTCTTCAAATGGTGAAAATCATATGAGATATCGATTTTCAAACTCTTAGCAATCTCTTCTGTCGAAATATTCGGTTTATTCTCCGTGATGTCTCATCGACGTCGGAATGTCGTCCGGAGTGTGGTTGATCTTTTAACCCTGACGATATCTGCCGAACACCGTTTTTCCCATCGAAAAAACAGGAGCAGGATCCAAATAAACATTCTGGGTATCTTTTATTTTTTTATTTTTTTTTTTTTGTCGCAGTTTCGACGCTTGTTCCGTAGGGAAATCCACAGAACATCATCTGACGAAAATGCAATTTTACATCTTCCATCTTTAAGACATGCGTTTATGAACAAAACGTCAACGTTCAACAAAGTCTGACTCGCAAATGAACAGTACAAGATTTCAATCTCAAAAACATTAAACTAAAATCCAGCGTCAAGTTGTGGTCATTTTATATTAACAATGAAAATCAGACACAAACTTTTAAAATGATTTAATCAAATAAGTTATTTATACTTTTAGCAAAATGAATAATATAATATATATTATTTTTAAGACGTGTGTGATCATGCCTCTACACAATTCACTGTCCATTGTAAATCTTAGTAATATTTTCTCATACTGCTTACTGTCACTACCCATTCTGTCATCTGTTTACATAAGCTTGTTAGAGATTTTACGAGTTGTTTCCCATTTCAACTTTTTAAGATTCTGAAAGGTTTGTTTTGTAACATGCGATCATTCATTGTCGTGGTGGAAAATGCAATTTGCCAAAATCTGTAGTTTTTCTGGAACCCAAGTCTCTTCAGATGGCGATAAACATTTGAGATATCGATTTTCAAACTCTTAGCAATCTCTTCCTTCGAAATCTTCTGTTTATTTTCCACAGCCTCTTCATCATATCAGAAATCGGTACCAAAACAAACGCTAGTGTAAGTTGCTGTCATTTCATCTTAACAATGAAAATCGGGCACAAAATTTTCAATGATCAGATATATATATATATATATATATATATATATATATATATATATATATATATATATTTGGTTGGATTGATATGAGTTTGTGACCCTGGGTTTCACGCTTTTTTCCGATCGTCAAACAAACTGATTAATTTTTAAAAACTTTGGGGTTTATGTAGATTGCGTATATATATATATATATATATATATATATATATATATATATATATATATATCACCCTAGCAAGGCGGGAAGCCACTAGCACGCAAGGGGTTATAGATGATTTGGAGCGAGAACAGGTAGAAATGATAGAGGAAAGGATGAGGAGAAGGATAGTGGATAGATCAAGGCAACTGGAGATGTCGATTGACATTACATTTGAATAGTTGGAGATTATAGCTCTCAGGCAAACAGGAATAGGGAAAGAAGTTTCACAGGCGAGAGGTGCGAGATATGAAGCTATTGGAGTAAAAAAACAAAGAGTAAAAAATTATATAATAATTATATATGTCCCTTCCTTCCTTACTTCTTTAGTTCGCACGACCTTTACGCCTTGTCAGTTATTGGATTATTTCAATATCATCGATGTGAACGTCCTTGTGGACCATAATCACAACTAAACAGAAATTGGTAAGCTTAAGAAATAACCAGATTGAAACCAGTAGACATTGGATGTTTAGGGCACAAGTTAAAGCGTGGCAATATTTTTGTCTTTTTTTTATGTCACGTTTCCCTTCAGAACGTTGACGATCGTGGCTCTTCACAATTTCCTCTCTGTGGCTCTTAATAAATCTTGTCTATATGTTAGCTCTCCTAAACCTTGCATATCTGCCTTATCAGTGATACTCATCATTTCTATTCCTAGGTGGTCATTCAGCAAATGGCTGTAATAGATGCTGGAGTGATAATCTCTTTTGATTAATGATTGACTTGACTAGGCAGAAGATTATCTCGTACTAGGTTTTCATGTCTTTCTGTGATAGACTGTTTACCAACCAAAGCTAGTATATCCTGCTATTTAACCCATAACTGGGTGAGTAGAGACGGATTCATACCTTTGCAAAGGGATTTTGTGCGTAAGTGATTTTAATGAACCCGATTGGAATTCGAACTCTGCTCTCTAAGTTCTGTCACGTTCTTTACTACCGAACGTAAATTCCTACAATATCTGTCTATATTTCTGAGATGAGGTATTATAATTGATCAATTGTTCGGACTGTTTTTTCTCATCTATGTTGCCATATTCACGAGGTTTCAATTACTAAAGGTTACGGTCTTCTTCATGTATTTGGAATTTCGAAATGGACACATTATTTCGTTTACCGCGGTAGATTGAATTAAATTAAAGAATTATACCTTTTAAGCATTCGGAAGAAAATATAGCAGCTTACACAGTGCAGGGTTGTTAAAGACAATTCAACTGGGAAGGTTGCTTTTACTTGCTTGTCAGTTGAAATGTAAATAATATATTGTTACAGTTGAAATATTTAATTGTGAAGCAGACACGCTTATTGACATTAATAGGAAATATATCTAAGTGAAAATAGAAGATTTACGTCTATAATGAATTATATGTGATTGGATCTCAATGAGACAAGATAATAAGACACAACTAATGAAGAGAGACTAAAAAGGAAAGAATTATTGCATCAAAGAGAACTTGATTAGCATCGCTTCCTAATAAAACTAGTTTCACGTGCCAGACCTCTTCCGGATGTCTCAGTTATCTCCCTTTAACTCAACTCCCAAAGTATGGGTTCACCACTGTAGTAGCCAGGTATTGAACTCACAACACTTAAATTTCTAAACAAATAATGTATTTTTATTTATTCACTTAAAACGTTAATTTTAATCGATAGCCTCATTTTAAACACTATTTTTATTTTGTTTACCGACTTAAATATTCGAGAAAGCGACCCAAAGCATTATTCCTCCACAGACAGCTTTCTACAAACGCTCCACAAAACTAATCATGGCAAACTAATATTCAAATTCAGTAATACAACACATGAAAAACAAAAAAGAATTCCTCGGAAGGGTGAGTCACTGTTTATTTTTCGTCTCGTTGAAAAAGGACACAGGCGTGTCTGAAAGTTCCGACTTAAAAATCTTTCTCTTCATGCTTCGGTTTAGTCAAAAGGCTTATATATAATAAATATTATCAGTTTTATTGACATTATTATTATCATTTTGTTATCTTTTATTTCTCGAATGTAATTAGAATTATTAAATACACACACAGAGACACAAACATATATATATATATATATATATATATATATATATATATATATATATATATAGTGGGGGACACAGTCCTATTTTTAAAGGAAACTCGTATGAGTTACACCACGGAATTTTGTGAAGAGCTATATCGAGCCTAATTCTCTACTCGCCGGTACCGAGGTCCGTTGGTACAGTTGGTATGAGGCTTGCTTGTCCGGGTTTCTATTCTCGGGAGTGGATGCGTACTGCTGATGAGTCACAAATATAGGACGAAACAGCCGTCCAGTGCTTTTCTGCATTCAGTTGAGTCTTCTTGAATTATTTATTAT